CAGAGAGAGAGAGAGAGAGAGAGAGAGAGAGAGAGAGAGAGAGAGAGAGAGAGAGAGAGAGAGAGGGAGCCCAGCCTCAGAAACTAGAGTTGTAAATGGTTTTGTTTGCATGATCATTACTAATATTATTACCATTAAAATACTAATGCACAGGTAGCTCTGTAGCCTACAGTGATCCAAGTTTTCGTCTCACCTTTATACATGATGCCCGCAGCCAAACGTGAAACCGTTGATAAACCCAGCAAGGAGCCCTCTGGCTCAGAATTCCACAGGTTTATATTGCTCTGTGATGTCCAACCACGATAAAAAGGTTTCCCCGCTGACAAATCAACAGTTGAACTATTCAACGTAACCCGAGAATAAAATGTCGCATTAGGTCGCTACCGACAACAAAATCTGGGATCTTGGTGAAATAAAGTTTTTATCTGGACGTCAGGAATTTCTTCTTCTCAAAGGAGTCGCTGTAGGGTAGATGGCTGTTTTTCTATCGCTTGGCAGGGGGTTTTCAAATCTTTAATGTCCAAATGTGGACGTTAGTTTCCAGGTGAGGGATACATTAAACTCTATACCGCCCACAAAATCAGCTGTTTCTTCACACTAACATACAATCACTTGAGGTTTTGGGTTGTCAAAAGTGTCTCCAGATAAGTACACCGCCCATTATATTCTGTTCTTTTAATCCCTTTAGTTGAGGACGGGCCAAAGCAGCGTGTCGGTGTAAAGGTAAGAAAACGAAAGCCCGCAAAAACTAAAAATAGAAATAAAAACCCTCTGTAAAGCTTTGTCTGCGGTATTCGGGAATACCGGATCTTCTCGTCATTTTTTTTTTAGTGTTAAGGTTCGTTGCTACGTACACGTGTAATGTTTTTAGAAGAAAAAAATGTAAATCATTTCTAAATTTATATTAAAAGTATTTTATGCAATGACAAATCGCAAGTGACTGTTTGCCTCGTGACTGCAGTCTTGCACAATGACTCACTCCGTTTGTTTTGTCTTTTAAAATTCCAAACTTCTATTTTTGTATTTGATATCCATTTCTTTTCCTCTCTGCCTGCCTATTTTAAAATTTAAACTTACATTTGTCTGTGTGTCTGTCCTGACTTGCAATATTATGCTTATACATAAAATACACGTAGCTAGGCATTCTTTTTTCAGTGGCATAAGAGTATAGAAATACATGTATCAACTTTTGCGTTCTGTTGCGTCAGGAAACATGCCATTGTCTATAACTTCTTCCCCTGTGTAAACTAAGATCAGAGCAAAGGGAAAGTGTCCCTTTCAAATAATGATATGACAAAAGTTTATCACTTTTGTGAGGGTGGGGCGGTCTTAGCAGGCGGGAGCATAATTAAGTTTAGTTCACATGTATTTTCAGCGAATAAACAATAATTTATATACAGGGCATATAGCTACCGTATTTCGTGGAAGATAAAAGAGGAGATGGGAGAGCAAGGGGGATAGGGACACACACACACACAAGCTTTCACACACACACAGACACACACACACACAGACACACATTTCTCTCTCTCTCTCTCTCTCTCTCTCTCTCTCTCTCTCTCTCTCTCTCTCTCTCTCTCTCGTCTGTTCCCACAACGCCCCCACAACGTACAATCAAGGTGACGGGGTACCATGAGGCACCCAATGTGGACAAACAATGCCAAGGGGAGGTAATGCTTTTCTTCCATGTCAGAATCGACTTGTGCAGCGCTCAAACTCAAACCGCCATTTCTGATCCCAGGCAATACCCGGTATAATTTGCAAGATCGATGCCTGCACCAAGGTGCGCTTGACCAACGAAGAATAATCAACATGTATTATTATTATTATTATTATTATTATTATTATTATTATTATTATTATTATTA